CTTTTTGTGAGGAAGATCAGCCCTGAGCTAACATCCATGCCAATCCTCCTCTTTTTGCTGAGGAAGACTGGCCCTGGGCTAACATCCGTGCCCATCTTCCTCCACTTTATGTGGGACGCCGCCACTGCAAGGCCTGACGAGCTGTGTGTTGGTGCGCGCCCGGGATCCCAACCCGGGCCGCCAGCAGCGGAGCGTGCACACTTAACTGCTAAGCCACGGGGCCGGCCCCGGCATCTTTTTTTTTTAAAGCTTCAGTACATGGTTGGGTGTCCTAGTTGTTAGTTTGGTTCTCTATGTGAGCTACCGCCACAGTAAGACAACAGACAGACAGGTGATGTGGTTCCACAACTGGGAAACGAACCCAGGCCGTGGCAGTGAGAGCTCCTAATCTTGACCATTAGAGCACCAGGGCTGGCTCCACACTGCATCTTAAAGGGGTAGAAAAAGAAGTGGCTGGTGATTGTGGACCAGTCTTTCATACAATATGATAATTGCATCCCCTCCTTCCTTTTTTTTTTTGCTGGGAAAGGTTCACCCGAGCTAATATCTGCGGCCAATCTTCCTTTTTCTTTTCCCTCCCTCCCCAAAGCCCCAGTGCGTAGTTGTATATTCTAGTTGTAGGTCCTTCTAGTTCTTCTATGTGAGCCACCGCCACAGCATGGCTACTGACAGATGAGTGCTGTGGTTCCATGCCAGGGAACCGAACCCAAGCCACCGTAGTGGAATAAGCCGAACTTTAACCACTAAGGCTGTCAGGCCAGGCTCTGCAACTCTTTCTTTCTTTGGAAAAGAGGAGCACCCTCTGCACTGTTTCAAAGATGAATAAATTGAGTCCTGGGACTGGCTCGCCAGTCACCTCTCAATCTAGAGCATTAGGGCAGCAGCAGAACCCCAGTGAGCTAGACCTTGGCCCAGAGTTCCTGGGCACCATCTCCCAGGCCTGTAGGCTGGGTGGGGAGAGGTGCCAGGTGGAACAAGTCCAGTGGACCATGGGAAGAGAAGCAGGAACAAGAGTGGCAGTAAAAGGAGGGCTGAGGCAGCTCCCTGTCAGCCAGATCTGGAGAGAGAATCAAGTGTCATCAGAAATTAACTAATGCCTCTATTCAACTCTGTCACCATGTCTTGATCTAGACCCCCAGATGCTCTGAGCTCCTTCTCACAGGCTGGGGGTGACGAGAGAAGCCACTCTTACTTGCTTAGCAGTGGAATCAGAATCAGAATAGGAATAGCTTTGGGGACCTGAGCCCTTACTCAGTACTGAGCGCTGAGCTATGTGCCACCCTCCACTCTCCTGGAGTGGCATGGGGTCAGTCTCCTGGGAGGCCTCGGCTGACCCAGGCACCTCCAATCCAGCTATTCAGTTAGCCCAGGATTCAAGGAAAATTAGGCAGAGATACTGATGCAGGTAAGAATGAATTTGATGAGAAGGGGAAACTCCATCACCAGGCTCCAAGAGCAGCAGGTGCGTCCTCACCATGAGAGGCCTCTTGAGAAGGGCCATGGGAAAAATTCTGGGCAAGAGAAATTGTTAATTTTGTTGGCTGGTGGGTTTTAAAATTAGTCTCTGAATTCTGCTTGCTCATCTTTTTCATTTTATGAATCTCATAAACATGATAATGGCATTCACAGAAATCAAAAGCAAAGACCTTTTTAAATTGTCCACAAACCTGATGACTCCCTCAGGTCAAACTGTTTTGGCTCCCAGTGTTTCTCTTGCTTTCTACATCTCATTCACATATGTCTATACACATAATAATATACATAATTACCTGCTTCCGGAGACACCTCCTCTTCTTGCCTTCCAGACTCCATACCTGCCTGGTCTTCCTACTACTTGAGTGCCCTCTCTTTCTCAGTCTCCTTTACTGGCTCTTCCTCCTCATCCCAACCTTGACCCTTTTTTCTTCTTCATCTGAACTCAGTTCCTTTTTAACCTCCCTGAGTCCTATGGCTTTAAATATCACCTATAAGCTGATAACTACCCAATTTAGACTTCTGACTTGACACGTCTCCTGAGTCCAAACTCATTTCCCCGCCTTTCGTGGGATATCTAATGGGCATCTCAAACTTAACATGTCCAAAAATGTAGCTTTTGATTTCTACCACCAGCCTGCTCCTCCCCCAAGTCACCCTCATCTCAGGGAATTTCACCACCACTCACTCCATCGAGAAAGCCCAAACTCTAGGAATCGTCCTTGATTCTTCTCCTTCCCTTGTACCCTACCTGCCATTCATCAGCTGGTCCCGTCGGCTATCAATTCAAAATGTATCCTAAATCCAGTCCCCTCTTACCACCTCCACTGCTACCCTTCCGTCCAGTCCGCTGCCCTCTCTCACCTGAGCCATTGCAACAGCATCCCAGTGGGTCTCCCTTTCTACGCTCTTACCCTGTACAGCTCATCACTGCAGGTTTAAACACTTAAGTCAGACTATGTTACTCTTTTGTTCAAAACCCTTCATCACTTCGCATTATCCTTAGTGTAACAGCTGAAGTCTCCACCATGGCCTGTCTTCCAGATCCACATCATCTCGCCCCTGGTTACCCCATCCACTTCCTTCCAACCATTCCAGCTGCATTACTGTTCCTCAGCATGCAAGCCTGTTCTTGCCTCAGTTCCTGATCTCTCTGTCTGGAATGATCTTCTCCAGACCTTCAAAAGGGTGGGTACTCACTTCATTTGATGAAAATGTCACCTCCCCTAAGTGGCCTCCCCACACGACCCTGGTTATGAACAGCCTCTGATACTCTCTTCCCCTGACCATGTATTCTTGTTCTCCACAGTAATTATCTTTAAATGAAATTATATATTTGTTTGCTTATTCTTTTTATGTGTCCTCAACTAGAAAACAGGCTCCATGAGTCAGGGGCTTCTGTCTGTCTTCTCCAATCTTCTATTCCCAGTGCCTAGAACAGTGCCTGACATGTAGAGTGTGCTTAGAAAATATTTGTGGAATGAATGGATTTGCTCTTTTGTCAGGTTTTAAAATTACTTCTTATTAGGCCAACTTTAAAATGGCATGAAAGGATTCTTTTTTTTTTTTTTAAGATAAAACCAATTTTACCTTTAAGTCTACCCCACTACACAACTATTTTCAGTCTGTGGGCCCTTCCTGTCTTTAGGTCCCCTCACAGATTTTATATATCGTCTTAGTTAATCTCAGAATCAGGCTGCTATTCAGAGATCTTGGTGTCTCACCATTTTCCTCTTTCTCGGGGTCCCATCACCCTTCATCTTCTGCTCTCCTCTTGCTGGCCCAGTTGCTCTCAGAGATGCCTCACAACCATATAGGAAAAGGCCATGCTGTTGTTCAAACAGCAGAAAAATCCCCGTTGTTGTTTAGCACAGAGCAGAGGGAAACGGGCTTAAGTTAAAACTCCAGAGGATTCTCTCAGATTCCATTTGTTCATCTATGGGCATTTCTTGAGCCTCTGACTTGTGTTAGGAACTGTGGTGGCCACTGAAGATGCAAAAATGGATGTCAGTGTCCCACTTTCAAGGAATTCATAAACTAGTGGGAAATCATCAACTAGTGGGAGAGACCATAAACTAGTGGTCTGGGGAGACCATAGAATTTGCAGACAAATAGGAGTTACACAATAAGTGGCATGTGGCTGGTAGAAAGGGCTCCTGGATTCCAGAGGTGGGGCGGCACTAACTCTGTGAACGGGAACAGTGCATGGAGGCGTGGAGACGTGAGAGGCCTGATGTGTTTGGACATGAGCGAGCATTCTGTGTGGCTGGAGCGCAGGGTACTTGGGAAGAAGTGAGGTGGGATGATGAGTGGCAGAAGACAAAGCTGGGAAGGTAGGCAGAAACCAGGTCATATGGGGAATTATATGTTGTGCTAAGAAATTCGGGCTTTATTCCAAAGCTATTGAAGAGCCAATGAAAAGCAGAAGAATCTTCTGATTGAAAGTTCTGAATTCATTCATTTGTTCATTTATTCACTCAATCAATCAATATATTTTGAGCTCCTATTATACTAAGCCCAGTACTAGGCTCTGAGTGTATAGTATTTAATAGATAGTCATTTTCCTTGTCCTTATAGAGCCAACAATCCATGGGGCCCAAAGGAAGATTGTTTGGCAGCTCCTGCCCTAGAGATCTACGTGAATAGGAAATTTTATTATAACAAAGAATGGAAACAATTTCCCTAACAATAGGTATATGTTTAAGCAAATTATGGTATATCAATAGAATGGAATATTAGGTAGCCTTTAAAAATGATGTTTGCAAGCATAGGAGAAAGACTTACGATGCTCCTTTATGGTATAGGAGAAATATTTATGATGCTCACTGGAAAAAGTAGGGTAAAAATCTATACAGAGTGGTATATATCAATGATGAACAGCAGGCATAAAAAAGACCATAAAATACACAAAAATATTACTTACAGCTGCCTCTCAGCAGAGTGATTTTTCTGCTACTTTATACTTTTTCTGTACCAAAAAGTTTTCTCTATTAAGCACATATTTACTTTTTCAACCTAACATTTATTGTAAAAGGAAAAAGATGACCTAAACAAGAAACAGAAGTTGGGGGAGCGGGGAACAGCACTGACATGTGTCTACCTGACATGATTGGGGTGTCTTCACCCCTGGAGGGCTGGGGTAGAGGGAGGACTTCTTGCCTTTGGGCGATTTCTTTAGGATGCGTGGCTGGTCCTTCCTTGCTTATCCATGAAAGCGTGTGTAACAGTTTCTGTCTGAGGGAGAGCAGCAGAACCAGCACTCTGGTCTGGCAAGTTCTAATCCCAACTGACTCTATGTGACCTTGGACGAGTCAGTCTCCCCTTTCCCTGGTCATCCACCGCCCTGGAGGACATTTTCCAAAGACCTTTCCAGGAAACAGGGTAAGCAGGAAGATCCTAGTCACAGGGGGGGCAGATGTTCTTTTTCAAAATAAAGGTAGGCTCCTGCCAACATCCTACTTTTCCTCTAACCTTCAGTCTCCTCCAATCCTGCTAGCAACTAATATTTTCTTTTTTATCTCTTCCAGGAAATGATCGAAATGGCCTAGATTTCAGCAGGCAGGTAAGGACTTTCAGAAGAAAACCTTTATTCTATAAATTCTGGGAGTCACTTACTCTATGTCAGGTGTGGGGGACACAAAGAAGATTAAAGTTTGAGGGCGTTTATTCATAGACTCATAGCTTTCAAGGGCCTTTGCACACAACCCCTCCCCCAACCCACAATCCAATGTTGGGGTCCTCTCTTCACTGTCCCCTCAGAAGAGTGCTGACAAATGCAGCATACATTTAGGGTTACCTGCACGCTAGATATGGTCCAGAATCTACGGCAACAGCTCTTTTCCTGTCAGAGCTCAGTCTGAGTTGCCTCTTGGGCGAGTCTGTCTGTGTGGACTGACTGTGTGGAGGAATTTATGGAGGTGCAAAGGATGGAGTGCCTGGGTTCCTTAGGGAACTCCTGATTTAAAGGAAGAAGATGGGGACAAAACAAGAGAAACAACAAAAAGAGCTCAGGAAGGAGTGCGTAACCCAGGTCAGAGGGACAGCATAGACACAAGCTTGGTGCCTTTGAAGGAAACCAAGTGGAGTGGGGTTCGAGTTAGTCAGAGAGGGCTCCGAGAGGGAGAAAGTGGTCTTGGACAGATTGCAGGATGGATGGATGGGTGGGTGGATGGATGGATGGATGGATGGATGGATGGATGGATGTGTAGATGTGTAAAGACCAGGGTGAGGTGGAGGGAGAGGACTTTCCCCTTAACGTTGGAGGCTAATGGGAAGACTGGGAGGTGAGGGCCAGGACAGGGTGTGATGTCGGAAGCAGATGGTGGGAGGGGTTGCTGGGAGGAGGAAGTCTAAGTTGGAGACAAGCAGGAAGCAATAATGGGGGCCCTAGAGCGAGGCAGAGAGGTGACAATTAGATACAAAGTCAGAAAGCCTGGATTTTTGTCCTGTTTCTGCCACTAACTAGCTATATAACCTTGGTCCAGTTGCTTAATATTTTTGGTCTGAGTTTTCTCAGCTGAAAAATTAATTTATTCCATAAATTTGGGGTGAAGGGGGAACGTGTTCTATGCCAGGTATGGGAATACAAAGGAAATTAAGACAGGGTCTCTGTCCTGGAGGAGCTCACAGTCTAGTATGAGGTGTGGGGAGACAGAGAAAGAGGACGACAGAGAAGTAGAGGGAGAGAGAGACTTGTAAGCGAATAATTATAGTACAATCTCATTCCTGCTTTACTAGAGGTGTGTAAAAAGCATGATGTCAAACAGAGATGGGAGCAGTTAATTCTTCCTGGGAGCCCAAGGCAGGCTTTATGGAGGAGGTGATCTCTGAGTCTAGCTCTGAAGGATGAGTAGGAGTTTGTCAGGCAGAGCAAAGTGGGCTGGAGAGGGAGACAGACAGGGGGAAGGGAAGAGAATCCTAGTGTGTTGAGGCATTGGGTAATCACTAGGGTTCCTTCCCACTCTGATGTTCTGAGTCCAGTTTTAGATGGAAGGCTAGGGTGGGGCTGGAGGTAAAATATATGCTCAGACATATATTCTTCTCCTGCTTTATCCGTACAGTGATTTGAAGGCACTACTAACATTTCCTAAAAGGCCGTTAACTGTCGGTATATCCTTCACAGTCAGAGGGAGGAGTAATTTTGAGTCCTAAGCCAAACCTTCTTAGGCAGGCAACTTCTGCAATTTTGTTCATTGGGGAAGTTTGCTAATAAGTAGAGGCCAACTACTCTCCCTCTGCACTCGAGACCTAAAACAAAATAGGCTTCAGTTAAAGAGACATCTAGGTTACCTATAAGGGACGACTTGCAGCCAATGTAGTTTATTAAACACTGGGACAGCTACCAAGTGAGAGAGACTGTGAATCAGCTTCTCACTCAAGGTTTTTAAGTATGAGACAGATTCTTGTCTAAGGGATAGTTCGGCCAGGTTTGCTTCAAGGGCAAGAGGATGGAGGAGATTCCCAAGGATTCTGTGATCCTGAAGGGGAGTCCTAAGCAGGCTGGGATGTGGCCTGTGCCCTATCCTTTCCACCCTGAGGACTCAGGATCCCAGCCTAGGGCCCACCGCTCACTGCCCCAAGACCTTGGACGAGATGCACGGGGAGGAGCTCATCTCACACCAAGATATGGCCACACCAGCCCAGCCTGGAGGTGGCCTGCTCCACAGGCCCAGTGGGTTTGGCTGCCAGGTGATCTTTCTGAAGCTTGAGAAACTCTAGTGCTTGGGACAAGTGTGAGGGCAGACCTGCTGGCCCTAGGCAGCCTACAGAGAGACACCATGACCCTTTGAACATCTTTTGGGGTATGGTTTCCACACCAGTCAGGAGAAAGTTTCCTGGCTTCTGCCAGGAGTGGGCCCCACTTGGGTTTGCTTCCCTTGGATGAGCCTCATGGTGTGGGTCGTTCCCTCCCTCCCCTGGAAGGGTTTTTAGATTTCTCATTACTGACAAGAACAGACACGACAGATCTTTCCTTTAAAGAGGGGAGAATTTAGGAGGAAAGGAGGCTCAGCCGAATCACAGTCATTTACACACTTAGACTGGAGCTCTTCTCTGCTCACAGGCACACACCTCCACACCCTCCCTAAGGCTCCTCCTCGCTCCCTCTCACTCTGTCCCAGGGATGTCATCAGATCCCAACGCCCACATGCTCATATCCACACCAGCTCACCTGCAGGCCTACGGTGGGGGGCACACCCAGGATTTCTCGGGCCACTGCATTGACAGTCATGGCCTCACACTTCACAACAAGGGAAGTAAATCAACATCCGCTGATGCCAGGCCCTGTGCAAGGTGCTTTGGGCACTTTATCTCGTTTAGTTATCACTATAAACCCATAAGGCAAGTGTTGCTATCCCATTAGACAAGTGAGGAAACTGCCGCCCAGGCAGCCCCCTCTTATATGGCAGAGGATTTGAGAGATTAAGTAATTTGCCAAAAGTCACACGATTCGTCAACTGGCAGAGCCGGGATTTGAACCCACCTGTCTTTGGCTCCAGAGCCCATTCTTCCCGTGATGCCTTGCTGTATCTTCCTCTTAAGTCTCTCAACTCCCCTCTCCCTGTCCATACACACTGTCCTTAGGGAGAGGCCCGGGAGCCAGCGGCTGAGCATGACCTCACCGTGACTAACCGGGAGGAAATGGGAGGCAGACGGGGTGGGAATGGGAAGAAAGAGTGGTTGTGTAGGAGCAGCCTCTGAATCTGAGACAGGAGAGAGGTTGGCAGACACAAGAGAGCAAAGGATGAGCCATTGCCCTTGGTGAAGCTCCAGCTGGAAGGCCCCAAGCCAGTTGGTGCAATTGGGAGTTGCAGAAAGGTGCCGGGTCAGCTGCGGTCCTGAAGTTGCATGAACAAAGGACATTGGCTTTTCGAGAAGTTTTATGCTAAGCCTGTTAACTTCCTGGTCCTAGGAAAGCAGCCTGCGCCTGTTTGAGAGATAATGGTGGGAAGACCCGGGGACCAAGATGCAGGTTCACCCTCAGTCCCCGGGAAAGATAAGACAAAATTGAGAGCAACAGGATAAGGCCAGTTCCCTGGACGGGGAGTTGGAGGTACTGGGTGCCAGTGCTGTTTCTGCCCTTATACAATCCTCTTCTCCTTTCTGGGCCTCAGTTTCCTCATGAATAAAATGAAGAGGTTTGGATGAGGTGATCTCTCAGGCCCCTGCAGTCTGTGTGTAATGGTCCCGTCATTTTTCTCATGCTGTATTCTGACTGGTTAGTTTGACTTCCATTCTCCTTGCATGTTTTTCTTTGAAGAGAAATGGAGAAGAGAGAGTCCATTTCTCCACCCTGAGCTGTAGAGAGTGAGGAGAGATATGTCACAGGCCATCTTCCCAGCCTTTTATTATCGTGTGTGATCCAGTGAAGAAAATCATTTGAAATTTGGGGGTAGAGACAGAAGAACCTAACAGGTTGGATCTAGGGTATTCCATTCACTCTTTGAGTATTTAATCATTCCAAGAGTTAGATAGAGGGTGTCATTTGTAAGAAGATCAATTGCAGTACTGCACAGTGAATTCCGTAAGAAACATAGAGTGCTGAGCTCTGGGATACTGCTGAGGATAGCACCAAAGAGATGGTGTCTGCAGTGGGTGACAAGGGAAGAGTAGGGGGTCTGCCTGGCAGAGTGGGCACAGCAAGAATATTCCGGGCATAGGCGGCAGTGAGTGTGAAGGCTCACTGTTGTAAAGGGCGTGGCACTGGGGAACTATAAGAAGATCAGCATGGGCTGGGGTGGTGGAAGATGAGGCTGGAGCCATGGGTTGGGCCAAATTATGAAGAGCTTTGGATGCCCAGCAAAGAAGTTTGGATTTTACCCTGTGGGCAGTAGAGAGCCACTCGGCACTTTTCAAGCGTGACTGGTTTCATTTAGTGGAAGAGCATTAGAGGGGGGTGTGGGTGAGGAGGGAAGGAAAGGTGAATGAAGGACTGTGGAAGGAAGAGGTGGGCAATGCTAAGGAGAGCGATTGTAGCAAAGAAGGTAAACACACATAGACTGCCTGGGTTTGAATCCTGGGTTTGGCACTACCTGGGTTTGCTCACTGTGTTACCTTGGGCAAGTTCTTCAGCTTCTGTGTTCCTCGACCTCCTCATCTGTGAAATGGGATGAATAATGGCACCTATCTCACAGGGTTGTTGTGAGGATCAAATGAGAGTGTGTGTGTGTACCGCTTAGACAAGTGTCTAGAACATACATACTGTCTACGTATTTGCTATTATTATTATTATTATGTCAGTGGGCATGGAGAGACTCTGATTTGAGAGATATTTCTGATATAAGATCAAGAGGATTTTGGCAACAAGTTGGACCTGGACAGCAAAGGAAAGGAAAGAGTCCAGCATGATTCTTAGATTTCTAGCTTGGGGTGCTGAGCATTAGTGGGACTGCCACCCGAGATAAAGAGGACAGGAGGTGGAGCAAACTTGTCCAGACGATGGCAGGAGACAGAAGGGCAGATAGTGGGCTAGAGATGCCCAATAGATGGTGAGAAATTTGGACGTGGAGCCCAGGAGACAGGTCAGGACTAAAGATGCATATTGAGGAGTCGCCATTGAATCAT